GCCACTTTTACTCCTATAATGTAGAAAGGGGACCTTGCCAAACAAGGCCTAGTGAAGAGAAAATTTTAAAGAGTTGCATCCATTTGGTCTTAAAAATGCAAATAATTAATTCTCTACTTTCCCAATGTTCAAATCCACCAAGTGGTGTAGAAAGTATTTATGTCAATGAATGTACTTCGAAAATATGATACTCTCACCAGTTTTCAATGGGCACAATTGGACTATCCAAAATTATTCTCTCGCAAACAATTATTTTAATAATTAATATACATGAATTATGTAGCACAAAATCGACACAAGTAGATTGTCATCTCAAAGAACTTTCTAAAGATTATGATTTTGCAACTATTTATGAAATATTATAGTAACAATTTATAGTAAAAAAGGTTTATTTTGGATAAGCAAACTAGTCTCACTAAAATGGATGCTAGAAGTTATCCCATATATGTACATACAAAATTACTTAGCAATAGAGCGACAACTGACATTTCCTATAGGAAAACACAATGAACAAAAGAGAGCCCCTACTAATAATGCAGCACATGAGATACTCATGTTCATGAACTAGAAACAGTGCAATTATTGCGTGGGGACGAGTTCGAGGCAGTCAAAATGGGCAAATGCAGCCACATACAGTGGGATAAGTATGATAATATTGTGAAGTGTCAACAAGGTTACAACCCCATCACGTCTATTGGTGAATACCTCATTGACACTTGTGAGTAGCCTCTCAATATGGAGAAAAACATTGTCCCTGAAACGCTCCCTGCTTTTCGCATAGATCTCGGACCCTTGATCCACTACCCTATTCCGCGAAACTTCCTACACCGCTAGCAATGTGAAGCCGGTACTACTTGACATTATATTTCTCCTTGTTCCCAAACACCATTCGCTACCCCTCATTCATCGCATCATGCTCTATAAACAGCACCACGACCACATTCTCTTCCATGGTCCTAGCGTGGCTACTAGAGAGGGGGGGGCATGGCGAGGCAATGCAAGATCTCCAAGTCGAAGAGGGAGACATAGTTCAAGATAGTGACAAGTATGATGTAGCCATCACCGGTTGGGGCACAACTTATGTTGAAGAGGTGGAAGGCATTGCAAGCGTAGTGGGGCATTGCGCATCCCCAAGCCAAAGGTTGTGAGCTAGATGGGGGTGGGAGAGGCAACATCTCGACAGAGGAGACAACAAGATCTCAATGACGAGATGCGGAAGGACCTTGATGCATCTACGATAGAGAGCTCGGCATGGTGAGTGGCTGGTTTGGATGATCTCGGTGTAGTGGAGCATGTGCTCAACATGACAAGGGTAAGCAGGAGTGCACCACTGTAGGTGGCTAACAATGATGTTTCCAGATATTTTTTTTGTTTTTATTCCTCAAACTATGCCCAAAATTTCTTTTATTTTTTTTGCTAAAACATTTTCTTAAAAGGTTTTTTGGATAAACTTTTCAAAAATATATTTTCTTCCACAAAGTATTTTTTTAAAATAGGGAAATGTTTTAGTTCTTTTATTCTTGTTTTTTTTTGAAAGAGTGCTAGTGGTCCCACATGCTAAATATGGGGACCTATTATTCTTGTTATATTTACCCACTAAAGGTAAATATTCATTCCTTCTTATAGTTTTCTTATTATCATCACCTTGATTAATTTACTTGACCCTCCTTACTCTCGTGATTAGGGTTGAGGGGCACCGATTGACGGTCTTTTCTCCATGAAGCCTATTGTACCGGTCTATGCCATTGGCCATCTTTGGCATGATCGCTCCTCTCTATAGGTATCATCACAAAAAGCATAGTCAAATTTCAAAGAGCTGCATTATTCTTGTGGTCTTGAGAAAAAGGCAAATAATTAACTCTTTCCTTTCTTTCATAATAGGTGCTTATTGAAGAACTACAATTAATTCCACCAGTTATAGTAGCAGTTGTTTATGGCATAATGAATGTATTGCCAAAAATGAGCACTCCCTCCACTTTTTGGTGGGCACAATTTGACCACCCAAAATTGTGCTTTGACCGTATAAAAAATATGTGAATTATGTGCCACAAAATTGCTACTACTGGATTTGTGACTACGATTACGATTTTGTGACAATTAACAAAACATTGTAGTAATACTAAACGCGCTTTCTAACGATTATGTCTTTGTGACTATTAATAAAACATTGTACTAATATTAAACGTGCTTTGACGCTTCTAATGATTATGATTTTGTGACTATTAACAAAACATTGTAGACTTGTAGTAATATTAAACACGCTTTCTATCGATTATGATTTTGTGACTATTAGTAAAAACATTATAGTAATGAAATGATTTTTGAAAGAAGACGAGAAATTGTCCCAAAACAAATACATGAGAAATTATCCAAATTAAAGTATTTCCATGAAAGTCGAACAAAATTCTCAAAAAAGGAAAGTCGAACGAAACTTCCCAGCAACAACAAAAAAGGATAAATGGGGTGGTGGTGGGGGGAGTGGAGGGACCATATAAATACACACCAAAACCAGGAGTTCAATCCCTGCGCTCTCCTTTTGCTAAAAAAAAATCCCTACGCTCTCCTCACTCCTCCGTTCTCCCCTCGCTCTCTGCTTCACCGACGCCGGTGAGACAGAGGCTGACGACCAAGGGAGAGAAGAGAGAGAGGTCGTCATCCCGCCGCCCATTCCATTTCCTGGTATTGTGCTGCGCTGCTCTTCTTGCTTCAGTAGTGTTGCACTGTGTACGTAGGAACATGGTCTTTTTCTCGTTTTGGAGTGAAAATCCGGTCGATGAACATGTAGTGTGAACGAACGTTGGAAAACTGCGGAGACAATTCTACACGTTTAAAAAAAAAAACTAGAATGGACGCCTCAGCGATCTAACGACGATGCACACACAGCCAGTGTAATCGTTGTACATGAACTACTTGCACGAGGTTACAGATGCATGCAAGGGATCAAGCTTTGATTATTGCTAGCTAGTACTTTTAGCTAGAGATATCTGAGGTGCCACTCTGTTGGATCCTCGGATCCGTTGGAGGGAGGTTTCGCAGTCTAGCTATCTAGATCTGTTGCACGGTGTTCTTTCCTTCTTCTTTTTTCCATTGTGCCATAGCATGCACGCTACTACCTTTCTAAGAACACACGTTACCTCTCCTGTTCGATCCAAGATTTTCCAAGACATGTGTTTTTTTTCTGTTCATTCGTAGTGTAATATGCTACGATATGGTGATGCTTATGACCTCTTTTGTGGCGGTAGAATCATGGAGCTTTGGCTAGGTTTGATGTGTTTCTTTCACTTGGGGAGCTTTGAATAATCCAAGTAATGCTTTCACAGAAAACTCTTTTGGAATGCAGGAAAGTTTCCTGAATCTGTAAAAATTGAACTAAATCCTGTAAAATTCCTACATGGTTTCTGTGAAAATCTCGTGTTCCAAAAGAGTTTTAAACGTGCGGTTTTTTTTTTCCAGTTCATTTGTGTCGTAACGGGCGACCGTACTTGCGGATCTTTATTACCTCTTTTGTAATGGTAAAATCGTGGAGCTTTGATTATCTTACATTTCTAGATATCCGAGGTTTAGGTAGTTTATTGTGTTCCTATCCCTTGTGGAAACTGCTCTTTTTGTTGATCCATACGCCTATATTTTGGATGTGTGGATTTTCGTTCATTTGTATTGTTATGGGTTACTGTAGTGTTATAGTGTCATTTTCTTTCACTCGGAGAGCTTTTTGAATAATCCAAGTTATGCCTTCGCCGAGGCCTCTTTTGGAACGTAGGAAAGTTTTCAGAATCTGTAAAAATTGAACTAAATCCTGTAAAATTCCTGCATGGTTTATGTGAAAATCTCGCGTTCCAAAAGAGTTTTGAACGCGCGTTTTTTTCAGTTCATTTGTGTCGTAACGGGCGACCGTACGTGCGGATCTTTATTACCTCTTTTGTAATGGTAAAATCGTGGAGCTTGGATTATCTTACATTTCTAGATATCCAAGGTTTAGGTAGTTTATTGTGTTCCTATCCCTTGTGGAAACTGCTCTTTTTGTTGATCCATACGCCTATATTTTGGATGTGCGGATTTTCGTTCATTTGGTTTCTGTGAAAATCTCGCGTTCCAAAAGAGTTTTGAACGCGCGTTTTTTCCGGTTCATTTGTGTTGTAACGGGCGACCGTACGTGCGGATCTTTATTACCTCTTTTGTAATGGTAAAATCGTGGAGCTTTGATTATCTTACATTTCTAGATATCCAAGGTTTAGGTAGTTTATTGTGTTCCTATCCCTTGTGGAAACTGCTCTTTTTGTTGATCCAACACCTATATTTTGGATGTGTGGATTTTCATTCATTTGTATTGTTATGGGTTAGTGTAGTGTCATAGTGTCATTTTCTTTCACTCGGAGAGCTTTTTGAATAATCCAAGTTATGCCTTTGCCGAGGCCTCTTTTGGAACGTAGGAAAGTTTTCTGAATCTGTAAAATTGAATTGAATCATGTGAGATCCCTACATGATTTCTATGAAAATCCTGTGTTCCGAAAGAGTTCTGAACGTGCGGTTTTTTCAGTTCATTTGTGTTGTAATGGACGATGGTACATGCGGATGTTTATTACCTCTTTTGTAACGTTAAAATCGCGGAGCTTTGATTATCTTACAAGTCTAGATATCCGAAGTTTAGGTAGTTTATTGTGTTTCTCTCCCTCATGGAAACTGCTCTTTTTGTTGATCCGTATGCCTATATGTTGGATGTGTTGATTTTCGTTCATTTGTATTGTTATGGATTATTGGAGTGTGATGTTTATCATCAGATTTGTAATGGTAGAATTGTGGAGCTTTGATTACCTTACTTATTTTATTAGCAAAGATTTACCACTCATAAATGCACTATCTTTTCCCTTTATTACTACAGGACCATCTTGCGGTACACCATTCTACCATCCTACTCTTGTGGTACACCATTGTGAGTACTATTGAAGTTCGATATCCTACTACTGAAGTTCAAGTTGCTGTTACGCTCAGAGGAGACAATCATGGCTCTCAAGGTATTGAGTTTAACATACTTCCTTGATTGTTTGGCTGTTCATATTTAGTTAATAAGTTGACAATTATTGCTTTATTTTTTTTGCGATTATAAATATAAATATGTCTGGATTTATCCGAAGTTAACTTTTCAGTTTTGATAGTCAATATCTAAAAACTTTATTTAGGTTGAGAACGTCAAGTTCATAATGTTAGATTCCTTATAAGCATGTACAATGGGGTCTTTAAAAGAAGAATTTTTGCTCTCTGTCATTTGCATATGATAAGATGCTTAAGAATGTTAGTAATGTATTAAGTTATTTAAGCACCAATTGCATTGGAAGGATTAACGTTTTTTTACAAGTGGTTAATGGTGTAGTAGCATTTCCCCCCTAATTAAGCACCCATATCCAAGTATCTTGTATTGTACGTATCGCATAGAACACTTCTATGTAGTATTTTTATTTATGATGACATATCTTCGTAGATATGACTAGCTATAGCATAATACTAGATGTTATTGCTTATGTTTAGGATCCAGAGAAGTGCTTGTAGTGGTACTTCATTAAGAGAACATCTCCCTTGTTATTGCGACCGTGTTCCTAGGGGCGGAGCTAGAGAGAAAAAAAAGTGGATGCAACACTATATAACTATAGCTGCTAGTTGAAATATATATTGGAAAAACGAGAGCGATAGTTGATTTTGGCTTGAGTTGAGCCTGGATGTGTCTACACCTGCAACGGCCTATATAGATCCGCCATGTTAGCAACCACAACAACGCACCCAAAATACGCAACAATGACAACTGAACACTACTATAGAAAAACTTAGCCGAGGCGGGCAAAAATGAGTAACCGAGGCGGGCATCCCATCCGCCTCCGCGAAAAGGTCACGATTAATCTGGCCTTAACGGAGGCGGTTGGTCACCCGCCTCGGTTAATCAAATAAAAAAAATGAAAACCCGTGGACAAGCCCAGCGAGCCAATCCACGGGCCGCCGCCCGCTGGATGTGCGTACCGCCACTGCCGCTCACCGGATTTCAGCACCCGCCACCGCCGGAGAAGGGCCGACCCCGCGCCACGCCTCCGCTACCGGATCCGGTCGCACCACCACCGGATCTGCACCTCTAGAACCAGATCCACCGCCAGGTGAGCATGGGCGGCCAAATCCAGCCGCTCCACCACCGGATCCGTGCCTCCAGAAGCAGATCCGCTGCTGGGGGAGCACAGGCGGCCAGATCCGCCCGCTCCACCAAAAGATCGGCTATGTGGGGGAGGAGGGGCGCCGATGCGAAGGAGGAGGGGCGAGGCCGGGCTACCGGGCCCTCGAGGCCGCACCGCCGGGCTGTCGTGCCCGCGAGGCCGCGCCGCCTGGCCGCTGCGCCCGCGTGCTCGTCCCCCCGCCCTCGAGACCCACTCGGGTGAGGGTGAGGGAGAGGGAGAGGGAGAGGGAGGGAGGCACGGGAGATGGAGGCGCTCGAGATCTGCTTGGGTGAGGGAAGGGAGGCGATGTGTGAGAGAGAGATGAGTGAGGGATTAGAGATGGGCTATGACCCCGCTGGTGGGCCAAGATGGGCCGATATGGATTGTGAGCGAGCTCAGGTACATTAAGGGAGGTGGGCCTTATAATTGGTCCGCATCCGAAAATGGAGGCATTTTTGGGCCTCCGTAAATAGATTTTAGGACCGCCTCAGAAAATCGATTTTGCGAGGCGGTTAATTATGGCCGCCTCGGTTAATAAAAACGATCACCAGGCATTAACCGAGGCGGTTCAAAAGCCTGCCCGCCTCTGAGCCTCTTTGCCAAACGCCTCGGTTATTTTTTTTAGTAGTGGAAGTATGGATGTATAGATAAAAAGTATACCTTCGTGTAAAAATTTGAGCTTCCAAAAATACACATCAATCACAACAAAAGTACGTATAGGTAAATATACCTTCATGTAAATTTTGAGTTGCAAAGAACATTTGTGTAAGAAAAAGAATAAGGGCATGTTTGGATTGCAGGAAAATGTTTCCGTTTCTATGTTTTTCCTGTGAAATTTCTGCATAATTTTTAAAAAAATTTATACATGATTTTTATAAAATTTCTACGTTCCAAACAGCCTTAGGGGTGATACTTTTGTCTGATATATAACACGGTAACAGTTATTATAGCTCGCTGTGACACAAATATGCACCGACTTTGTTAATGTTGTTCAAATGTCTTTTTTCTGTTTCCTACCACCATCGCTCCTCCAGAAAAAAATCTGGGTAAAAATCACTCGCAAAATCTGGGTAAAAATCACTCCATAGACCTTTCAGAAAGAAAACCAATCCATAGCCGAAGTGCCAAACTGCCAAACGGCAGGATAGATAGGGGGCCAAGGCCAAACGCGACGAGTAACGCCTTGCCGCTATGGAACCTAGTCGCCGCTGCCGCCGCGGCCGCGCCGCTCCGGCCTCCGGCGGCCACAGCTGCAGCTTCTCTTGCGCCGTCCCATCCATTACACTGCCCTTTCCCAGCTCAGCGACTGCCCCGTTTTGCTGCCTCCCCGCCTTCATGGGTCCTTTCTAGCGGTGTCGAGGTGAAATTGGGGGTGGATGTGGAACAGAGAGAGGCGCGGGCTGTGGCCTGCTTCGTCGATGCGACGTCGCGGGCGAGTCGGTGCTGGTGCTGCGGCGCCGATCACGTCGGCAAATTTGGCGGGTTAAAACACCGATTTTACAGTTGAGTGGTCCTCGGTCATAAGCAAACTTTTCCTTTCCTTTTTTATCTCCTTGGTAAAGTTGCAGAGTAGAATGGTTGTCCGTTACTCTACTAATTTAGTATGTCTATACCAGCCCATCAAAGCTCCTTTCTCAAACCACGAATCATATATACCCTGCTTCGCACGAGGCTCAGCATGCATGTGTTCTTCATTGGTTGGCGGCATTGATATTTTTCAGAACTGTGTTACCTGCACAATTATTTCGAGACCACCTGAACATCCACAACTTTTGTTTTAACATTTTCTTTCCTTTTGGCAGGATACATTCAGCTTGTTCATCCTATTTGCCTGCTTCGTCACTGCTTTTGCTGGATCTGATATAAAGAATCTATATGCTCTGAAGGATGAACTCGTTGAATCAAAGCAATTCCTTTGGGACTGGTTCGATACAGAAACTCCTCCATGCATGTGGTCACATATCACTTGTGTGGACAATGCTGTTGCAGCCATTGATTTGTCATATATGCCGCTCCATGTTCCTTTCCCATTATGCATCACGGCATTCCAGTCACTTGTTCGTCTCAACTTAAGTAGGTGTGATTTATTCGGTGAGATTCCAGAAGCCTTGGGAAATTTGACGCATCTCCAGTACCTGGACTTGAGCAGCAACCAGCTTACTGGGATCGTGCCTTACGCATTATATGATTTGAAGATGCTGAAAGAAATACTGTTAGACAGAAACAGCTTGTCTGGACAATTGATCCCTGCCATTGCTAAGCTTCAGCAACTCGCTAAGTTAACCATATCCAAGAACAACATCTCTGGACAACTTCCTCAAGAGATGGGCAGTCTGAAGGACCTAGAGGTCCTGGACTTTCACCAGAACTGCTTCAATGGATCAATACCAGAAGCATTAGGCAACCTGTCTCAGCTCTTCTACCTTGATGCAAGCAAGAATCAGCTCACTGGATCAATATTTCCAGGAATAAGCACATTGTTGAACCTGCTGACACTTGAATTATCTTCAAATTTTTTTAAGGGGCCAATACCTAAGGAGATTTCTCGCCTGGAAAATCTAGAGAGCTTGGTTCTGGGGTCCAACAATTTCACTGGAAGCATTCCAAAGGAGATTGGTAACCTGAAGAAGCTAAGAAAACTCATTCTCTCTAAATGCAACTTATCAGGCACCATCCCTTGGTCAATTGGTGGTCTTAAAAGCCTACAGGAATTTGATATATCAGATAACAACTTCAATTCGGAACTCCCAGCATCTATTGGTGAGCTGGGAAATTTGACTGTCCTGGTTGCAATGAGAGCAAAGCTCATAGGCAGCATACCAAAAGAACTTGGTAACTGCAAGAAGCTTACTCACCTGCGTCTGTCCTTCAATGCCTTCACTGGTTGTATGCCCAAAGAACTTGCAGGTTTAGAAGCTATTGTCCGTTTTGAGGTGGAAGGTAACAATCTGTCAGGTCATATTGCTGATTGGATTCAAAACTGGGGAAATGTTGTATCTATAAGACTGGGAAATAACAAGTTCAATGGTTCTATACCTCCTGGCATATGTCAATCCAACTCGCTTCAGTCACTCGACTTGAATTTTAACAATCTGACAGGGAGTATCAAGGAGACATTTATGAGATGCAGGAACCTTACTCAACTGAATTTGCAAGGCAACCATTTCCATGGTGAGATACCAGAATACTTGGCTGAGTTACCGCTCACAATTCTGCAATTGCGCTACAACAATTTTACAGGAGTCTTGCCTGCCAAGTTGTTTAATTCATCAACAATTTTGGAGATAGATCTCAGCTATAATAAGCTCACTGGCTGTATTCCTGAGAGCATTGGTGAGCTCCGCGGCTTGCAGAGGTTGCGGATGAGCAGTAACTGCTTGGAAGGACCAATCCCGCCGGCGATAGGTGCTCTAAAGAATTTGAATGAAATTTGTCTTGATGGGAATAGACTATCTGGGAACATCCCGCAAGAGCTCTTCAACTGCAGAAACCTAGTCAAGCTAAACCTGAGCTCTAATAATCTGAACGGAACCATCTCAAGATCCATATCTCAATTGACTTCACTCACTGGCTTGGTTTTGTCTCACAACCAACTCTCTGGTTCCATTCCTGCTGAGATATGTGGGGGATTCACGAATCCATCTCACCCTGAATCAGAGTATGTTCAATATCATGGCTTACTTGATCTGTCATACAACCGGTTGACTGACCGTATCCCACCAGGAATCAAGAATTGTGTTATTCTGGAGGAGCTACACCTGCAAGTTAACTTGCTGAATGAATCTATTCCTGTGGAGCTTGCTGAGCTGAAGAATCTTATGACCGTTGATCTCTCTTTTAATGAATTGGTTGGACCTATGCTTCCTTGGTCCACACCATTGGTCAATCTGCAAGGCCTTTTTCTGTCTAATAACCACCTCACTGGCAATATTCCTGCTGAGATAGGTCGCATCCTTCCCAACATCGTGGTTCTAAACTTGTCCTGTAATGCATTTGGGGCTACCCTACCCCAATCTCTACTATGCAGCAAGACCCTGAACCTTCTGGATGTCAGTAACAACAACCTCTCTGGTAAAATCCCGTCATCTTGTACTGGGTTTGAAGGATCATCGAGCCAACTGATCTTGTTCAATGCAAGCAGTAACCATTTCTCAGGGAGCCTAGATGGATCTATCTTAAATTTTGCACATTTGTCTTCTCTTGATATCCACAACAATAGCCTCAACGGGAGCTTGCCAGCAGCACTGTCCAATCTCAGTTTGTACTACCTTGATGTCTCAAAGAATGATTTCAGTGGTGCCATCCCTTGTGGTATGTGCAATCTATCTAACATTACGTTTGTCGATTTCTCTGGTAAAATTATTGGCATGCGTAGCTTCTCAGATTGTGCAGCATCAGGCATTTGTGCTGCTAATAGTACCAGTACCAATCATGTGGAGGTTCATATACCTCATGGAGTTGTAATAGCACTGATCATTACTGGCGCCATTCTCATTGTGGTTCTTCTTGTGGTTTTTGTGACATGGATGATGTTGACAAACAGGTCATTACCTCTTGTATCTGCCAGTGAATCCAAGGCTACAATTGAGCTTGAGCCAACCTCAAGTAAAGAGCTCCTAGGAAAAAAGTCAAGGGAACCTCTGAGCATCAATCTTTCTACATTTGAGCATGGACTGCTGAGGGTTACCATGGATGATATCCTGAAAGCTACCAATAATTTCAGCGAGGTGCACATCATAGGCCATGGTGGGTTTGGGACTGTCTATGAAGCAGCATTCCCTGAAGGACAGAGGGTCGCTATCAAGAGGCTTCATGGTAGCTACCAGTTCCTTGGTGACCGTCAATTCCTTGCTGAGATGGAGACCATTGGAAAGGTGAAGCATCATAACCTTGTTCCCCTAGTTGGCTACTGCGCTCGTGGTGATGAGCGTTTCCTGATCTATGAATACATGCATCATGGGAGCCTTGAGACGTGGCTGAGGAACCATGAAAATACACCTGAAACAATTGGATGGCGTGAACGTCTCAGGATCTGCCTCGGTTCTGCTAATGGACTCATGTTCCTCCACCATGGCTTTGTGCCCCATATCATCCATCGGGACATGAAGTCAAGCAACATTCTATTGGATGAGAACATGGAGCCGAGGATCTCTGACTTTGGCCTTGCAAGGATAATCAGTGCCTATGACACCCATGTTAGCACCACCGTCTCTGGCACGCTTGGTTACATTCCCCCAGAATATGCGCTGATTATGGAATCTACCGCGAGGGGAGATGTCTACAGCTTTGGCGTAGTCATGCTGGAGGTGCTCACTGGACGGCCACCTACAGGGAAAGAGGTGGAAGATGGCGGTGGGAACCTTGTCGACTGGGTGCGGTGGATGATTGCACGCGGTCGGGAGGGTGAGTTGTTTGATCCATGCCTGCCCGTTTCAGGTCTGTGGCATGAACAGATGGTTCGCGTGCTTGCCATTGCTCAGGATTGCACTGCCGACGAGCCATCGAAGAGGCCGACCATGGTGGAGGTGGTGAAGGGACTCAAGATGGTCCAGCTGATGAAACATGAATCTCACAACCTCCAGCAATTTGTGGCGCAGCCATGATCTGGGCATGCACTGGTGCCTACTGGTATGTTTTTGTTTTGTTTATTAAGTGCTTCATATAAGTTATTACCAGTTCTAAACACTCTAAACTCATGCAACCTTTTACCTGATTCAGTTCTCTTCTCTCTTTCTGTGGTTTTACAATGCTAGCTAACAATAACGTATATATAACAAAAGTTTAAAACATATTAACCTTGATATATAAATGCAGTCTGCAGCATGTTCAAAATATCCAATTGCATAAGCTTAGATCTTTGGATTGTTCGAGTGTTAGAAACCTGTACCTTCAAATTTTCGTACAAAGTTTGGTGCTTAAACTGTAACCTATACTACCTTGGTCAGCAGTGTATACTTATCATTTGTGACTTTTGATTTGCAGCCTGTCTTTGTTGGAGATGAGCTTGGAGCGCACTACACCCCTACAACTATTTCAGCTTTCACAGCACCATCTGAAGCGGACAACTCGGCAAATGGGCCACATGCATGCGCTAGGGCAGAGAATAATAAGGCACCAAGCCAAACAGAAACAAAGCTTTGTGTTAGTAGTAACTCTTTTAATTAGCGCTTAGTGTGTGAGCACATGTGTTAGCTTATTCAGGCTGTTAGCTAGCTAGCTGTGTCTGTGTGCATAACCGGGCCCCTGCGCGACTGTGGGCATGCAGAGCTCCAATGTGTGTGTCGTTCACATGGATCGGAAGCGCGTCGCGTCAGGCGGCACGTCTCTTGGCGTCTGTGATGGCATTCGCTTTGAAGAGGGATTGCCGTGCATACATACATGTTGTCCACCCAGGTGGGCATGGACATGGTGGTGTAATCCTTTGCGTTATAATAAGTTGCTGCTAGTTTACAGCACCGAAACAAGACCGCGTTTGTGTGTGCTTATATCCATGGTACGTAGCGGCTAGGGATGCAAGTTCAAAATATTTTGGGTCACTTGGTCGACCCAAAAATGTGTTGGTTTGAGATATTCGAGGTATGTGAACACAAGAAGAGCAAATCCTACCCCTTGAGAGCACTTGTGGGATTCATCAAACACTTCGTGAAAGGATTTGTTAACTTTGGAGGTGAAGCCTCTTACACGGCTAAGAGTTGCTCGATGAGCACCCAAGCATGTAGTGTGTTGCAAAAAATTGTGAAAGGTTCAAGTTCACCTCTGCAAAGGAAGAAATCAAATTAATGGAAGTCCATTGTTGTTGTGCGTGGTTGTCTTTGCTGATGGTAAGTGGTTGAAAGAGACTAGCTCCATTTGAGAGGTCCTGAACGGAGATAAAGGTGCATTGTCGGAGGTGGGTGAACTTGGGGGAGGGGTATCCTCTCATGTTTCGTTTACTCCTAGTGCTTGAGGTGTTAGCACATTTCTTAATTGATATACTTAGTGGTTATGCAGGGTTGTTATGGATAAGTTTTCACACCTTCATCAAGTTGTGGTTTCATTTGTGAACAGTAAAGTTACCTTGGTAAGTTTTGATTTGAGCAAGTTCTTTCTCTATCATAGAATTCGAGAACTTGTAGGGTGCTTCCTTGTTGGAGCATATGGTAAGGCAAAGGATGATCCATTACTAATTAACACTATTTATCTCTAAATGATCATTTAGCCCATGCAAACACCATGTAAACTCTAAATAGTGGTATGCCATTTCTATTTAATCGGTCGTTATCCATTTAGTGAGCCATTTAGTCCAAACAATGACTAAACATGAGGTGACCGACTATTTACCATTTTCTATTTAGGATAACACCACTAATTAACTCCGCCTATGTTGTCTCACCATAGTAGGTCCCAAGCTCTGGTAAAGGAGGAGGGTTGTGATAGGCGTGGCGAGCCAACGTTAAATCTAGCCATTCTAATGGAGATGAAACCCGAAAGAAAACCGTTGGGGAGTAACCCTCTTAGCGACGCGCCATATCAAAACCTGTGTATGGTGTTAAATGGGCAAGGGCCGGGTCGGCACCCCCTTGGTGACGTGTCGTGTCGTGATCTGGGCATGGTGTCAAGTGAGCAAGGATCGAGTCATCGCTTCCTTAGTGGCGCGCTACATCGGCGCCCGGGTGTAGTGAAAAATGAACAAGGGTCTTCACATCTGAGTCAACAGGTGCGAAGGGTAAAGAAGCTAGTCGAACCAACTAGGATCCGTTTAGGTAGTTGGAATGTAGGGTCGCTTACAGGTAATTTAAGAGAATTAGTTAATACCGCGACTAGGAGACGTGTAAATATATTATGCGTTCAAGAGACTAAATGGAAGGGTCAGAAGACGAAGGAGATGGACAATACAGGTTTTAAGCTTTGATACACAGGGACAGTTGCAAATAGAAATGGAGTAGGAGTTTTGATTGATAAGAGGCTCAAGAATGGTATGGTGGGAGTGAGAAGGCAAGGAGATAGGATTATCTTAGTCAAGTTTGTCGTTGGTGATATGGTCTTGAACGTAATTAGTGCGTATGCCCCCAAGTAGACCTCGACGAGAGTGCTAAGAGACAGTTCTAGGAAGACTTAGATGGCCTGATTAGAGTTGTACCTAGTAGTTAGAAGCTTTTTATATGAGGAGATCTTAATGGGCATGTAGGTACTACAAGCGCAGGTTTCGAGACAGTTCATGGAGGTTTTGGGTATAGTAGTAGGAATCAGGAGGGGGAGAAAGTTCTGGACTTCGCGGTAGCTTTTGACCTGATGATAGCCAACACTTTCTTTAGAAAGAGAGAATCTCATCTAGTGACTTTCAGTAGCGGACAACACTCTAGCCAGATTGACTTTGTCCTCGTAAGAACAAAGGACAAACGAGCATGCTTGGGTTGCAAGGTGATACTAGGGGAGTGTGTTGTTTCTCAACATAAGCTTTTGGTGGTAGACTTTCGTTTTCAAGTGCATGCCCGTAGAAATAAACAAGCTAATATTGAAAGAACAAAGTGGTGGAAACTGAAAGGAGAGACGTCAGAGTTATTCAGGGAAAGGGTTATCAAAGAGGACTCTTGGAAGGAAGAAGAGGACATAAATAACATGTGGGAAAAGATGGCAACTAACATTCAAAAGGTGGCCTCAGATGTGTGTGGAGTAACCAAAGAAAGTGGAGGCGAGGCTAAAGATACTTGGTGGTGGAACGAGAAAGTCCAAAGAGCTATTAAGGAGAAGAAAGAATGCTATAGACGCTTGTACCATGACAGGAGTGTGGACAACATAGAGAAGTACAAGGTGGCAAAGAAGACTGCAAAGCGAGCTGTAAGTGTGGCAAAGGATAGAGCGTATGAGGATCTTTACCAACATTTGAGTACGAAGGAAAGAGAGAAGGACAATTATAGGATGGCTAGGGCTCATGAGGGAAAGACAAGGGACTTCAACCAAGTTAAGTGCATTAGGGATGAAAGGGAGCATCTCTCGGTGAAGGAGGATGAGATCCGACATCGATGGCAAGAGTATTTTGACAAATTGTTAAATGGTGAGAATACGGACACAACCTTTCAGTTGGATGACTCTTTTGATGACACCAATAGGTGCTTGGTGCGGATCATCCAAGAATCTGAGGTCAGAGAGGCGTTGAAAAGGATGAAAGGAGGTAAGGCGATGGGACCGGATGGTATCCCAATCGAAGTGTGGAGATGCCTCGGGGACGTAGCTATAGTATGGCTAACCAAGCTGTTCAACCATATTTGTCGATCGAACAAGATGCCTGACGAGTGGAAGAGAAGTATATTGGTACCGATCTACAAGAATAAAGGGATATTCAAAGTTGTACTAACTACCGGGAAATTAAGTTGATGAGCCATACTATGAAGCTATGGAAGAGAGTTATCGAGCATCGCTTGAGAGCAATAACGCGTGTCTCTATAAACCAATTTGGTTTCATGCCCAAAAGGTCAACCATGGAAGTCATTTTCTTAATAAGACAAGTTATGGAGCGGTATAGAGAGAAGAAGAAGGACCAACACATGGTTTTTATTGACTTGGAGAAAGCTTATGATAAAATACCAAGGAATGTTATGTGGTGGGCTTTGGATAAACATAAAGTCCCAACGAAGTACATTGGGCTCATTAAGGACATGTATAACAATATTGTGACTAGTGTTCGAACAAATGATGGAGACATGGATGACTTCCCGATTAGGATAGGACTACATCAATGGTCAGCTTTGAGCCCTTATTTGTTTGCCTTAGTGATGGATGAGGTAACAAGGGACATACAAGGGAACATCCCTTGGTGTATGCTTTTCGCGGACGATGTATTGCTAGTTGACGAAAGCCAGACAGGAGTGAATCAGAAACTAGAGTTATGGCGAGAGACTTTAGAGTTCAAAGGTTTTAGAATCAGTAGAACTAAAACTAAGTATATGAGATGTGACTTTGGCACTACTACTCGGGAGGAGGAAGATATTAGTTTAAAAGGTCAAGTAGTGCCTAGGAAGGATACCTTTCGATATTTAGGGTCAATGCTATAGAGAGACAGGGATATTGATGAAGATGTTAGCCATAGAACCAAAGCAGGGTGGATGAAGTGGCGCCAAGCATCTGGTGTCCTATGTGACAAAAAGGTACCACAGAGGCTAAAAGGCAAGTTTTATAGGACGACGATTAGACCTGCTATGTTGTATGGTGTAGAATGTTGATCTACGAAAAGACGACATGTTCAACAGATAAGTGCCGTGGAAATGCGTATGTTGCGTTGGATTTGCGGTCATACAAGAAGGGATTGAGTTCGGAATGATGATATACGTGATAGATTAGGGGTAGCACCAATTGAAGAAAAGCTTGTCCAACACCGGTTGAGATGGTTTGGACATGTCCAATGGAGACCTCCAGAGGCACCGGTGCGTAGTGGAATCCTAAGCCAGGATAGTAACGTGAAGAGAGGCAGAGGAAGACCGAAGTTGACTTGGGTAAAGACAATAAAAGGAGACTTGAAATGATGGAATATACCCAAAGACTTAGCCTTAGATAGGAGTGCTTGGAAAATAGCTATTCACGTGCTTGAACCTTGATTGCTTCTGCTGGGTTTCAACTCTAGCCTACC